TTTAAAGTTTTTGAACTTTAAAACATATAAATGTATTACCTGAAACATGTAAAATAAATGAACACACTGTAAAATTTCTCCTGTACATTTGTGAATCAAATTAGGTCTAGACCAGGGTTTCTCAACCTGGGCACTGTTGACATTTTGGGTGGGATAATTCTCCGTTGTGGGATCTGTCCTGTACATTGTGGGATGTTAAGCAATATCTCTGTCTCCACCCACTAGATGTCAGTAGATACCGCCCCCAACACATACACACATTGTGACAACAAAAAGTGTCTTTAAACACTAACGAATTATCCTCTGAGGAGCAAATCAAGCTGTTTAAGAAGCTCTGAGCTACAGGTGACCAGGAAGACTGTGCCACTGGGTCCCTCAAGACACATAAGGCCACCCTGCCAAATCTGGGAGATATAGCAGATCTACCTAATACATAGAAATAAACATGGGGAAGCAGCCAAAATGAGGAGACAAAGAAACATGTCCCAAATGAAAGAACAGGATAAAACTCTAGAAAAGAACTAAACAAAATGGAGGCAAGAAATCTACAGATATAGATTATCAGATATAGAGTTCAAAACACCGGTTATAAAGATGTTCAATGAACTGAGAGGAAGAATAGATGAACACAGCCAGAGGCAGAAAACCTCAAAAAGAGACAGAAAACCTAAAAAAGAACCAATCAGAAATAAAGAAAATATTGTAGGGAATCAACAGCAGATTACATTAAGCAGAGGATCAAATCAGCGATCTGGAAGGAGAGGGAGCAGAAACATCCAATTGGAACAGCAAAAAGAAATAATAATTTTAAAGAAATAAGGATAGTTTAAGGGCCTTTTGGGACACCAAGCGTAACAATAGCATATCTTAGGTGTAATTGAAGGAGAAGAGATCAAGGGATTGAAAATTTATTTGAAGAAATAATGACTGATGACTCCCTGACTTGGCAAAGGAAACAGACATACAAGTCTAGGAAACGCAGAGTCCTAAACAAGATGAACCCAAAGAGGCCCGCACCAAGACACATCATAATTAAAATGCCAGAGGTTAAGAACGAAGAGAGAATCTTAAAAGCAGCAAGAGAAAAACAGTTATCTACAAGGGAGCTCCCATAAGACTGTCAGCTGATTTCTCGACAGAAACTTAGAAGGCCAGAAAGGATTGGCATGAAATAGTCAAAGTGATGAAAAGCATGTGGAACATTTTCTATGACAGATCACATGTTAGGCCACAAAGAAAGTCTCAATAAATTAAAGAAGACTGAAATCATAACAAGCATCTTCTCCCATCATAATGGTATGAAACTAGAAATCAATTACAAGATGAAAACTGAAAAAACACACAAACACATGGAACCTAAATAACATGCTACTACACAATGAATGGGTTAAAAATGAGAACAAGGAAAAAATAAAAATGTATCTTGAGACAAAAAAACCACAATGACCCCCAAATTAAGGGGACACAGCCAAATAAGTTCTAAGAGGGAAATTCATAGCAACACAGGCCTACCTCAAAAGACAAGAAAAATCTCAAATAAAAATCTGACCATACAACTAAAGAAATAAACAAACAAAGCTCAAAGTAAGTAGAAGAAAGGAAATATAAAGATCAGAGTGGAAATAAACAAAATAGAGTCTAAGAAAATCCAAAGATCAATGAAACCAAGAACTGGTTATTTGAAAAGATAAACAAATTAATAAACCTTTAACCAGACTCATCAAGAAAACAAAGAGAGAGGACCTAAATAAATAAAATTAGAAATTAAAGAGAAGTGACGAATGACACCACAGAAATATAAAAGATTATAAGAAAATGCTACAAATGATTGCCAACAAATTAGACAATCTGTAAGAAATGGATAAATTCCTAGAAACAGACAATATTCCAAAACTGAAACAAGAAGAAACAGAAAATCTAAACAGACATAACTACTAACAAAACTAAATCAGTAATAAAAAAACTCCTCCCAAAAAGAAATCTTGAGCCAGATGGCTTCACTGGAGAATTTTACCAAACATTTAAAGAAGAATTAACACCTATCAAACTATTTTAAAAAGAGAAGGGAAGGCTTCCGAGCTCATTTTACAAGGCCTGCATTACCTTGATTCCCAAATCAGATGAAGACATTACAAAAAAAATGAGTAAATAAAGGCCAATATCCCTGATGAATAAGGATGCAAAAATCTTCAACAAAGTATTAGTATACCAAACTGAGCAATACATTAAAAAGATCATACACCATGATCAGCTGGGATTTATAACTGGGATCTATTTCTGGGATGTAAGGTTGGTTCAATATCTGCATATAAATTAACATGATACACCCCATAAACAAAATGAAGGATAAAAATCATATGATCATATCAACAGATGCAGAAAAAGTATGTGACAAAATTCAGCATCCATTTATGATAAAAAACTCTCAGCAAAGTGGAAATAGGAGCCACATATAATAAAGGCCACGTATGACAAAATAATAAAGCCCACATATAACAAACCCACAACTAGCATCATACTCAATGGTGAAAAGCTAAAAGTGTTTTCCTTAAGATCAGGAACAAGACAAGGATGTCCACTTTCACTTTTATTCAACATAGTTTTGGAAGTTCTAGCCATAGCAATTAGATGAGAAAAAGAAATAAAAGTCATCCAAATTGGAAAGCAAGAAGTAAAACTGTCATTATTTGCAAATGACATGATATTATATACAGACAACACTAAAGAGTCCACCAAAAAACTAGTAGAACTGAAAAATGAATTCAGTAAAGTAGCAGGATATAAAATAGATATTCAGAAATTGGTTGCATTTTAATATACCAATAGCAAACTATAAGAAAGAGAAATTAAGAAAACAGTCTCATTTATAATTGCACCCAAAAAAATACCTAAAAATCAATTTAACCAAGGGGGTAAAAGACCTGTACTCAGAAAACTATAAGACACTGAAGATACAAATAAATGGAAGGATACACAATGCTCATGGATAGGAAGAATTAACATTGTTAAAATGTCCAAACTCCCCAAAGCAATCTACAGATTCAATGCAATCTCGACCAAAGTACCAACGGCATTTTCCACAAAACTAGAACAAATAATTCTAAAATTTATACAGAACCATGAAAGATGCCAAACAGCCAAAGCAATCTTTAGAAAGAAGAACAAAGTTGGAGGTGTCATGCAATCTGATATCAAACTATACTATAAGGCAATAGTCATTAAAACAACATGTTACTGGCATAAAAACAGACAGAGATCAATGGTATAGAATAAAGCCCCAAAATAAAACCCATACCAATTAGTCAATTGATCTATGACAAAGGAGGTAATAATATACAAGGGGGTAAAGACAGTCTCTTCAATAAGTGGTGATGGGAAAACTGGACAAATACATGCAAAAAAATGAAACAAGACCACTTTCTTATACCATATACAAGAATAAACTAAAAAAATGAATTAAAGACCTAAAGTAAGAGCCGAAACCATAAAACTCCTAGAGGAAAATATAGGCAGTAAACTCTATGACATTGCTCTTAGTATTATTTTTTCTGATATATCTCCTTGGGCAATATAAACAAAAGAGAAAAAAAAGACTATATCGAACTAAAAAATTTTTGCACAGCAAAGGAAACTATCAACAAAATGAAAAGACAACCTACTGAAATGGGAGAAGATATTTGCCAGTGATATATCCGATAA